TTCCTTACTGAAAAAATAACGTTATTTTTATTTTATTTGAACATTTTTATTTGATTGAAATGACGACTAAAGTCACTGAAGCAATGAAACAAAAGTTTTTGGTAGAATACATTAAATCAGGAGCGGTTCCAGAAGGTTTTTACGTTCATACTATGAAGGATGGTAGAGTTCAGTTTAGAAAGATAAAGCAACCATTAGATAGAGAAGGAATTTTGAGAAAGATTAAACTTCATGAGGACAACATTGCTGAACTTAAGAAGAAGTTAGAAGAGTTGGAGAAAGGAAGAGAGTTATAAAGCAATGAATTCATGAGGTGAAAAAAGAGGTGAAAAAAGAGGTGAGATATCACCACTTCACCTAAATTTATTTTTGGGCTATGTTTTCATACATGTGAGGGTGGTGATATCATTAATTTTAAATAAATGTGGGAACAAAAATATAACATTTCTACTCAGCAGGAATGAGACCCTTACTGACTATGTATTCGTTTAATGCTTGATGAAAACAATGGTACATATTATCGTATGGGTATACACAACGTCTGTTTCCATCGTCGTCGTATATGTAGAGCTCAAATCCAGTCCAACCTTCTTTTGTACAATATGTAGCTTTATTTAAGTATGCATTTATGTAGATAAGGCAATTTTCTTCATCGCTCCAGAAATAATTTTTGTTCTTTGTTGAAATAGTTTTCGTTCCTCTGCGACCATAAGGAATGTATGCAATGAATTTTGCGTCATATGGGATTGTAATATATTCAGGGTTTCTTTCATCGTCAATGGGTCTGTCTTTGTTAAAATGCATGTTTCTCAGTTTTACTTGAGTTTTGAATAGTTCACGGAAACGTTCTGGGAAAGAGTCATAGTAAATGTAGTCGGACATGTCTTTGTAATGAAATAAAAAATTTAAAAAAATAAAAATAAGGTTATATTTTATTTAGTGAGGACGGTAGTGAAGTCGTTAGTGAAGTCGTTAGTGAAGTAGTTAGTGAAATCGTTTATGTGTCAGACGGTTTTGTAAATATTTAAGGTTAAGTTGTGTTATGGTTGTGTTGTAAAATATACGTTAACGGTTTCGTAAAGTGTCAAATTCACAAGTATTGCGTACGAAGAAACGCAGTGCCACAGTACACGACTTAACCATACTAACTAAATTCAACACCCGACACTCAATATTGAGTTATATTTGGATGGAAAATGCATCTCTTTGGTGGAAATGAATAGACAGCCTTTTAAAATGTATTCAGGTACAATATTTCCCTGATAAAAAATTGTGCGTTGCAATCTTCACAATTTAATTTGAAAATTAGTTTTTTGATTTTAAAATGCAGGCTTTTCAGTATGTGGACTCCTTCGCTTCGCTCGGAGTCCACATACTGAAAGGCCTGCAATATCAAAATGATGTTTGATTAAAAAGTTGCTTACTCTGAATGAAGATAATTCCCCAATTACGAAGTGTCGGGAGAGAGATTTCACCTCACCTCGTTATCCCCCTGTTTTTGGACTACACCAGACAAATCCAATCCTTTTAGCTGATAGCGGATACCAATGTATCACTCATTATGTTACCTACGCTATCACACCCTATTAGTGGCACAGAAATCAGGAATTGACCGACAACGAGAAGAACTTCAATCGACAAGTTTCGCGACACTTACATGTTTGAAGAATGTCAACCGACAAATGTCTCGGTGTCGGTCATATATGATTCTTACAGAATAAATCAGAAGTTTTTTTTAATGTAAGTGTCATAAATGCATAAAGAACCTATGATTAAGGAAGGTCATATATGCATGGCATAGGATCTAGCGATTGATATTTGAGCTTGTTTTTCAAAAATAACAACTTTTTTTTCTTTATTGCAATTTGAATTTATGCTTTGAAAAACAAGCTCATAATATTCTAATAAGATAGCAATATAGATAAGGTTTAACCATTTCTTAATTAGGCGTTTTAAGATTTGTGATCTAACATTAGGAGAGATAAATTATTTTTTTCATTAATTTTTTTTTCATTAATTTTTTTTTCAAAAAATTTTATGAGTAAAAGATCTCAACGAATCACCATGAATATAATGTATTTTAAAATTTCTAATAGCTTATCAGATTGTTGATGATGTGTATAGTTTATGCTATTCGCCTGATAGCATTAATAATCATCGTTATCAAATTTTGATGCACCTTTTAATCATATTTATGGACATTGTATGAAACTACAAATGTCATAGTGTAATAAACAGAAATTCATCAAAAGTGACAGCTCTCAATTTTTTGACATTTGTAAATTCTAAATTGAATGAGAAAAATGAATTAATACTAAGCATAATACAATATTCTAGATTTAATTATAATTAGGAAAAAGTTAGTTTTGAGAGTACTTTTCATAGACATATAGAATGAAATCTTCTGAAAAATAATATCACATAAACTCATATTATTTTCTAATATATAACTATTTTATATAAAAATCAAATTCAATGATCTTAAAAGCGAAGGATAAACCTCAAAATTTACGAATATAATGAGTGGGAATAGGCGTAAAGCAAAAATTGATATTTCATATGGTTTTATGATAGATAAGCATTATATTCCCACTCATTATATTCGTAAATTTTGAGGTTTATCCTTCGCTTTTAAGATCATTGAATTTGATTTTTATATAAAATAGTTATATATTAGAAAATAATATGAGTTTATGTGATATTATTTTTCAGAAGATTTTGTGTTCTTCTTCAAAATTTTATTTTTTTATTAAAAAGAATCTTTACAAAATATACATTTACTTTAATTAATATTTAAAAACGTGCTCTATCAAAAGTTCCAAAAATTCAATATTTTAGCTTTTCTGAGGTGTCACTTTTGATGAATTTCTGTTTACAACAATAGATTCCAATAGTAATACAATGTATTAACAAATCATTTAAAAAAGTAAAAAACTCTGAAACCCCATAGAGTGGCATTTTTGAAAAAAAAATTAAAATTTTTGGAATTTGATTAATTTTAAGAAATATCAACAATAAATAAATATCTAAGAGAATTCTCAAATGAATATAAATTTATCATATTTTCTCTTTTATTTGACGTTATTTTCTTCTGTATATATCAAGTATTCATATTACCATGATCAAATCTATTTTCAAATTGAGGGGGGCACAAACCTGCCCAGTGAGGTGAAGTGAAAAGTGACAGGTTTACATGTCAGAAATGTAAAGTATCAGATTTGAAACAAAGAATGTATTAATTTATTATTATATGATAGAGAGATTTGGTAAGTTACTATCAAATTTGTAAGTAAGGGAAAAAAAGTAAAAAAGAAAAAAAATTTTTAAAAAATAAAAAGCCACTCGCTTCGCTCGCGGTTGACAAAAAGAACAAATTCGAAAAATAATTGTATGAAATTACGAAACTAAGCCACTCGCTTCGCTCGCGGCTTAAGAAAAGAACAGATTCGAAAAAAGATTGTATGAAATTACGAAACTAAGCCACTCGCTTCGCTCGCGGCTTAAGAAAAGAACAGATTCGAAAAAAGATTGTATGAAATTACGAAACTAAGCCGCGAGCGAAGCGAGCGGCTTAAGTAAACATCATATTTCAGATTATCGATACTAAATTTTTTTTATTTTATTACATTTTTTTAAAGCTTCTTAACTTAAATCATGGAATGTCTCAAAGACAAAAGTAGCATACAGCATGTAAAGCTAAAGAAAGATAATCATAATTAATACCTTAATTTTTAATATTACGCATTTTTAGGTGCAAAATTTAAAAACATTCTAATACAATAGAGCAGTTTCCAAAAGTAGCATACAGCATGCAAAGCTAAAGAAAGATAATCATAATTAATACCTTTAAAGTTTAAAATCTTGATTTTTTTTAAAATCAAATATTTATAACTTTAATACATACAGCTTAAACCTTATACTTGTTTTCTCTTGTGAGAAAGCAATCTTACAAAGCTAACAATTCTAAAAAATAAAGAATTAAAATTTAATAATTTAATCTAAAATTAAAATCAAAATTAAATAAAATGAGTTCTTTGTAATAATACTTTCAAGGTAGGATATATTTTAGTGGGATCTATTGAGTCATCACTAACAGCATTGAGCAATCTATTGAGCATTGAAATACTCTTTTTCTTTGTCTTTTTACATCAATTTCTGCGTTAGTTGCTTTTTCCATGATCCTAATGACACGGTCATCTGCTGGATTTTGATCAATTTTGAGTTTGATAACGAAAGATGGTATCACTTTTGTATAAATTTCTATAATAACATCATCAATTCTGAGATTTTTTCGATCAGGAAAATAGTCATGTTTGAGTGTTCTAAAATGAGCTTCGGCAATATTGTTAGTTGCGTCGCCTTCACGCCTGTCACGAGCAATCCATCTTGATATGTTGTAACGCCATTGTCTGTTAAAGTATTGAGATGCTGTTGGATCTGTGTCGAGCAACTCCAGAACTTGATCATAGGCAGCATTTGCTTCTTCCTCATGTTCTGCATCTAATTTGAAGACTAAATCCTTCATCAAATTATAGAATTGTTCAAATTTTTCTTGAGAAGAAAACTTATTTGATTTGCGAAGAATTGCACGAAGAACATGTACTCCGCACCAAAGTATTTGAGCTTGTGGAATGCTTTCTTCTATTGCTTGAGCTATCTGTGGAGCACAGTCCATGCTAATGTATTCTGGCTCAATTGTTACCCATCTGAGATAGGCGCACACGCAAACTTGAATGTTTTGATAAGTGTCTGGTTGACAAAAGAAATATAAAAAAGGGAAAATGTGAAAATCTTTGATTTTGCCAGTAAATGCATACAATGGAATGTTTGATCGCAACAATTTATAGGTGCTGTCTATATGAAATGTCTTGATACTATGCGCATAAGCTTTGCCTTCAAAAGGCGCGTAATAGAAACACATATTATTGTCTGAGACTTCAAATGCAATGAGATCATCTGGAGATTCTTCTTGTACTGTCTGAACAAAGATTTGCAATGACACAACATCGTCAGGAGAATATCTAGTTTGAAGAGCATGTATTCTCTCTGCAAATTGTTTGATTGCACGTGGTTTTTGAGCGTACATCTCTGGAATGGACGGACCTGTAAGAGAAATTTCAAGATCTTTGAATGCATTTAGCTGTGCTATCGCTCTTTGATTGTCATCTGTTTGGAAGTAATGTTCTAAATATTTGCGATAAAAGACAGACGAATATTGACTTTTGTCATTTGGGGCGGAATGATCATGTTCTTCAACTATTTTGATTAGTTTGTATTTATTTTGATCCAAGATTGCAACATTAAAATGTGCAGGACATTTTGGATATTTGCAGTGGAATGAAATCTGAGATCTTTCTTTCCTGACACGTTCACCATATCCATACTGTGCTTGTATTTCTTGTTTAACTCCAAATTTACAAAGATCCATAACAGTAAAGATAGTTTCTTCTTCTAATTCCATTTGAAATTGAAATGAAAATTAAAAATTCAGAAATTTGAATAGATTTGGTCTGTAATTAAATGAGAATAGCAGTTTGTTCGTCATTGTTTGAAGCAAGAGTATTATAGGAATATTATATGATGGATTTGAGTTGCATATAAAGAGTGCAAAAGGATAAAGAGAGAAATTTTGTTAGATTAAATTATTAAATTTTAATTCTTTATTTTTTAGAATTGTTAGCTTTGTAAGATTGCTTTCTCACAAGAGAAAACAAGTATAAGGTTTAAGCTGTATGTATTAAAGTTATAAATATTTGATTTTAAAAAAAATCAAGATTTTAAACTTTAAAGGTATTAATTATGATGAGTGTGGTAGAATTTACGAAAAAGTGACACTTAACCTTAAATTTCCAAACACTATTTTTTGATTGTATTTTGTTATTTATATATTTATATATATATGTATATTTATATATATATATGTATATTTATATATGTATATTTATATATGTATATATTTATATATGTATATATTTATATATGTATATATTTATATATGTATATATTTATATATGTATATATTTATATATGTATATATTTATATATGTATATATTTATATATGTATATATTTATATATGTATATATTTATATATGTATATTTATATATGTATATATTTATATATGTATATATTTATATATGTATATATTTATATATGTATATATTTATATATGTATATATTTATATATGTATATATTTATATATGTATATATTTATATATGTATATATTTATATATGTATATATTTATTAGAAACTGCTTCATGCTATGTTGAGTATTGTTGAATTGGAAACTGCTTCATGATGCATTGAGTATTGTTGAATAATTTGAAGTAGTGGTTTTTGAAATCAGCACCCCTATGAGAGCGCTGGCGACCGAAACACCACTAGTAAGATTGTGTATTAGAAACTGCTTCATGCTGTGTTGAGTAAGCTTCGATGTCTTTGTAGGATAGCTTTCTGAGAGCGAAACAAGATAGTGTTGAAAAAAAATTTGAAAATCTGAGAGACTGTGCAAGAGCCAACGACCAAAACACTACCAGTAAGATACAGCAGTAGTAGCTGCTTCATGCTGCATTGAGTATTGTTGAATAATTTGAAGTAGTGGTTTTTGAAATCAGCACCCCTATGAGAGCGCTGGCGACCGAAACACCACTAGTAAGATTTGTATTAGAAACTGCTTCATGCTGTGTTGAGTAAGCTTCGATGTCTTTGTAGGATAGCTTTCTGAGAGCGAAACAAGATAGTGTTGAAAAAAAAATTTGAAAATCTGAGAGACTGTGCAAGAGCCAACGACCAAAACACTACCAGTAAGATACAGCAGTAGTAGCTGCTTCATGCTGCATTGAGTATTGTTGAATAATTTGAAGTAGTGGTTTTTGAAATCAGCACCCCTATGAGAGCGCTGGCGACCGAAACACCACTAGTAAGATTGTGTATTAGAAACTGCTTCATGCTGTGTTGAGTAAGCTTCGATATCTTTATCAGACCACCTTTAAATTAACCACTCACATTCTCACTGTGGTCCATCTAAAATTTGTAAACTTTATGACATAAAATTATATTATATGCAGGATCCCACCTATTACTTAATCTTTTTGGAATAAATGTTTTATAATATTTATCGATTGATTGTAATTTTTTGTATAAAAAAGTTTTTTATTTATATTAAAAATATATTCGGTTAATGATATTATCTTATAATTTGTAAATAAATCTAGTAATAAAATAACTTTAATAGTTGGTGTCACTTTTTCGAAAATTCTGGTTTTTTCTAAGCTGTATGTATTAAAGTTATAAATATTTGATTTTAAAAAAAATCAAGATTTTAAACTTTAAAGGTATTAATTATGATTATCTTTCTTTAGCTTTGCATGATAGTATTGTATGCTTATCACTAATATATAAGCAGATCCTTCATTTCTAGTGTCATGCAATTATGAATCAAGAATTTTGCAAATTCAACTATGAATATATATATATATATATATATATACAATTATAAATTAATTAAAAAGCATCATCAGACTCAGACAAGTTAATTATGTGCATGCATTAAATTTGATAATGTCTAGCATTAACAAATAGTTCATTTATTCTGATTAATAACTATCCAAAAAAATAATATAATCATTTTTAATGTTAATTAACTTGTTTAAAGTTTAATATTAACAAAGAATACTGTTATTATTCATGGTCTAAAATAATTATTCATCAACTCTTTATAAAATAAGATATATGCTTTATTTTTAATATATTTTTGGTAGAAATTTCGAGGAAATATTAAGGTTTAAACATCACTTCACTTCAACAATTTCTTCTTACGACATGACTTTTATCAATTGATTAAACCAATCACCGGATTTACCAAGAGCACCTAAAATAAATAATAGTTTAAATTTCTACCTTATCTCGAAATGTGAGACACTTACTTTGCCCGAGATAACATGCCCCCAGCGGTTTTATTCCGGTAACTCTGATTACGAGAATCGGAATTATAAGTCAGATAAGGCAGGGAAAAGAGAAGAAATGAAATGAGATTGAGAAAGTCAAATTAAACAGATAGCAACCTAGTAAACTTATGAAAAAATTAATTAATTGGCAGGAAATAGTATCTCATACCGAAAATGAACTTTACCAAAAGTGACATTTTGGCGCCAAAAATATTTTAATTTAGTAATATTATCTAAAAATAATAACTTCGATAAATCATAAATAACATATCATATGTAAATTTTATAATTAAACAAGTTTTTATTTTAAAAGATTTGGATTTTTTAAGATATATAAGAATTGAAGGGTGAGACGCATATAGGCATACAATATAATCTCGATCTTCAATTCCTACCAGAAAGTTCGAAAACTTGGTCGCAATTAGATGCAATTGCGACCAAGTTTTCGAACTTTCTTGAGGGAATTAATGCTTGGCGATAATGAAATAAGCAGCCAGTAACCTTTGCGTTTGGACAAAATAATTTAATGGATTTGTAAAGTGCGATTTCAAAATCTACGTAAACAGTTTTGAAATTGTTGAACCCAATTATTGAAATTAATGCGGAAAATGCGGTTGTATACGCTTCTGCTGTCCGAGATTTCATAAGAATGTGGACAACAGGAATGTATTCATTCGTTGTTTGGTCAAGCACCATTAATGTAAGGAGTTGACCCTTGTCATCGAACCGTCTTGGGACGATTTTAAAGGTACCGTCCAAGAATAATTTTGTTGCTGAGTGACAAATTGAGACAGAACGATCATAACCGAAAATTATTATTGGTTCTGGGTAAAACGCGATGCATTTTAGAAAATTTTCGGAATTTTGTTTGGTAATTGAAAGAATTTGTTCCACAAAATCTGGAATAACCAAATTATGTGGATAAAACTCTTTGTATAATGTGCGTGGTAAATTTTCTGGTATTTTTGGAGGCCTTTCAAGTTTTGTTGCCTCAGAAAGTAAATATGATAATATTTGCGCTTCTGAAGTTAACGGTTGTATTGAATGGTGTTCACGTGTAATTTGCATTAGATCCCTAATTTTTGTTTCTTCTTCAATATCTCTAAAAACTGTACCTTTTGGTGTGCATGAATGCTCACCACCGAGAGGTTCGATTTTTGGAATTTGATTTGGGTACAGTGTCACTTTTATTTTGTAATTGCAGCTTCCTTCGCATTTGTAAACGATTGAATATGAATGCGTGTGTCCAGGCGGCATCGGAATTGATCGGGAAATCGGGATAAAAGTATTCAATTTTATCCCGATAAATCGGGATGAAAGTACTCAATTTTTAATCGGGACGGAATCACTACACATTTGATAGAAACATTATTTAAAAATCGTTTGAATATATAATATGCAACTACAGAAGATATAGGAGAATGTTGTGTATGTTTCATTGGATTTAATTTCATATTGGACGAAATTGCAAAAAGATTCTTTTGAATTTTGGTTTAATAAAAGTGTAAATGTCATATACTGTTAGTGTATGTAATAATAGATATGGTAATACTAATAAACATATATGATACCGATAATCATCAAAAGATCAGATATTACATTTTTATAAATATCAGGGATATTAATGTTTTATCGGTACTATTGCATACTTAGAGATATATTGAAATGTGGGAATAAAGGGTATTCGGAAAAAGAACAGGATATTCATAATATTAATTTATATGATTTTAAATTTGAAATGATTTGAATAGTTAGATGTGTTTGTGAAGTTTGGTAATATGATACAGATTGATTCGTATAAGAATATAAGTGAATTTGTGATTTTAAAAAGAAATTTTTAGTAAAGATATATTTGAATGGAGAAATATTTGAGAAGCATTGAAAATTTGAGAAGAAAATTGAAAAGGGTATAAAAATGAAAAAGTAAAAATTAATAACGTAATAACATGTTTTAATAAGTTTTAAATAAATTTATAATATAAAAATATATTAATGATAAAATAAATTTGAATAAGGTTTTGAAAATAAATTGAAAAGCAATTGAATAAATAATAAATGAAAAATATATTACAGTAGGTATTCAGAAAAAATATATATGAAAAAAGTTAAAAAACATAAATTGATGATGAATAGATAAATATAACTAGAAGGAAAGTTAAAGATTTATTTAGTAAGGGAATGATAGAATAAACAAAAATTGAGATATAAAAATTGCTCACATTTGCTCACATTTTGGCACTTTTTTGTACGTTTGTCAAAAAATTGTGAGGAAGATCTCACAAAAATAATCAAAATGTGAGCAAATTTTGAGAAGTGCTCACATTTTGACATACGATTATTTTCATACGTTTTTTTGATGAATTCTAATAAAACTTCATTACCACTTTCAGAACGAAGCGTAACTTTTCAGCACGTAACGCTCTATCATGTGTAGTGACATATTATTCAAAAAAACTCAGATTGCTTATCTTATAATAACAATTTCATTAGAAAAAATGCACGATTTCACGCT